AAAATAAAGTATGAATTACTGTTATAATATACAATTTAGGAAAAAAAAGTACCGTAGAATTAAATAAAATTTTGCAACTTCAAAATACCGTTCTGCTTACAGTAAACACAGTCGGTAGTCTGGCGCTCCGTTGACACCGGATTTGAACGGAACTTGGCGCCAGATTCTACCGAATCTGTGGATTAAGCTTGCTATTATTATTAAAAAAAAATGTCACATGTAGTTTCAATTCTACCTGTCGAAGCGCTCCGCGCAATTCTCACACATACATATGTATAAATTACGAATTAACATGTGTAATAAAATGCTTACGTTGACATCTGACACATAATAACATATACATCCTGACATTGTTTATATTTTATCGCACACGTGATGAAGATGAAAGTATCAGTGAGATAAAAAAATATTATGCAAATAAAGACTCACCAAACCCACCAAAAATTTCAAGCTCCAACAAATTAAGTAAGGTTATAATTTTATTTCTAACAACACTATAAGAAAACAAGTAACAATGTCACGTGATAATAAAAAATCAAATGTATTATTGCCGGTACTTGTTACCGCATTTGCAATCCCTCTGTCAATGTTATTTTGGATAATAAATGTCATATATTCTATTTTATCACCCAGGGAGAATCAGACTGAAGGTAAGTCATCAATTCTTTTAAATATTAAATTTAAAAAAAATTATCCGACAGTTTTTATTTTTTTTTTTTTTTTATTATTTTTCAGACCATGCAGTAATTTCACCATGGAGATGGTTAGCAGCGATAGTGATCCCGATTCTATTTTCCCTCTGGGGTTTAAAAAGACGCAGCTTAGACCTGAGCGGCGCGATGCTAGGTCTGGTTGTCGGGTTTGTTTTGACGATAACAAACTACGCGTATTTAGCGGACCTCATGTGCTTTTTTGTAAGTTCTTCTTTGGCGACCAAGTTCAGGATGAATGAAAAAAGGAAGCTGGAGGTTGACTTTAAGGAAGGAGGCCAGAGAAACTGGATCCAGGTTTTATGCAACGGTGGCATGGCTTTGCAGCTGGCATTGCTTTATTTGTTAGATGTTGGGTGTGGAGAAAGAGCTCTTGATTTTGATAAAGACTACCGGAGTTCTTGGTTGTCTATTGGTATTCTAGGTATTAAAATTTTTTTTTATCGGATATTGTAATTAAAAAATTTTTTTTATTGCAATTTATTAGATAGTTTAAAAAAATTTATTTAATCTGATAATTTTGTAGATTTTTTTTTTTATAATAATTAATCTGATAATTTTTTATAATAATTAATTAATCTAATAATTGAAAAAATTTTTTTTATAACAATTAATTAATCTCAGAATTTTTTAGATTTTTTTTTATGATTATTATTTAATCTGATAATTTTTTTATAAAAATTAATTATTCTAACAATTTTTTTTATGAATTAATCTGACAATTTTTTGGATTTTTTAATAAGAATTATTTAATCTGATAATTTTTTATAACAATTAATTAGTCTAATAATTAAAAAATTTTTTTATAACAATTAATTAATCTCACAATTTTTTAGATTACTCTTTATGATAATTATTTAATCTAATAGTTTTTTAGATGTTTTAATGAGAATTACTTAATCTGATAATTTTTTTATAACTATTTTTTTTTTAAAACAATTAAATTATTTAAAAAAATTCACCATCTAAAAATTAACAAAAAAATGATCAGTAAAAATGAAAAAAAAATTTTTTTATCATAATTAATTTTTTAAAAATGTAATTTATTTTTAGGAGCATTTTCATGCTGCAATGGAGATACCTGGGCATCCGAATTTGGAACGGCAATCGGTAACTCGGATCCGTTTTTAATTACAACCCGAACAAAAGTTCCAAGAGGTAATTCATTATTTGATTAATTTGTAATTTAATTTTCTGGAATCAGAGCGGAAATAATTATAATTACCCAGTAATTTGTAAATTAAATATCAATAGTTACTCACATTGATTTTTGCTTTAAATAATGTGTTCATTAATTAAAGCCTTGAAATTAATGTTAGTTCTGGGTTTTGCCGCCAGATGGCTACGCCTTCTCGCTATCAGAAATATCTAAGTGTAGAGTATTTATATATTTAAAGGATTTTAAGCTTGTGAATATTAATATTAAAAAACTTTAAATTTTTTTTGGAGGAAACAAATTTTTATTAAGGGGGATGTATAGCCACTGTGAAATTAAAAAAAAAAAAAATTTTTTTTCTTTATTAAATCAATGTTTATACATTCTAAAACATAGTCATTTTTGTGACAGCGTGTCAAATATTCAGTAGCTTTAGTTGCACGTAGTGGATTTTGAAAATTGGGATTTTTAAGATTTTTTAGGACTGTTAGAATCCAAAAAAATTAAAAAAAAAAACGAAAAAATTTTCAATATGTCGCCATTTTTTTTTAAATCCAAATTTTCAAAATCTCTTACGTAGAACGATAACCACATTCATGCAGATTACAACGTAGTTTGGTTTTTTCATTTTGGAAAATCCGTTTTTGAGTTATAGATGAGACCATGGTGGGGGAAATTTTTTTGGTGCTCTACAAAAGTGCTTATAACTTTGTAACAACATGATATTTTTCAATCAAAATTTAGGAGAATGATCTTCAATGTATACTTAGTGAAACAAAAAAAAAAACCGATCCTCAAATTCCTTTATTATCCCAGTCAAAAAAATTCCCCCTTAATTAAAGCCTTGAAATTAATATTAGTTCTGGTTTTTGCCGCCAGATGGCCACGTCTTCTCGCTATCAGAAATATCTAAGTGTAGAGTATTTATATACTTAAAGGGTTTTAAGCTTGTGAATATTAATATCAACGAACTTTAAATTTTTTTGGAGAAAAAAAATTTTTATTAAATTAAAAAAAATATATGAATATTTAGATAATTAAAAAAAATTATTTTACTAAAATAAATATTTTTTTTAAAGGTACAAATGGAGCAGTTTCATTGGTTGGCTTATTAATGTCATTACTGGGCGGATTACTCGTAGGTGTATTTCATTATTTAGCTGTACTGTACACAGTAGACTCAGTTGTACTTGAAAACTCAGCCCCCCAATGGCCAATTATTGTAATAGCCGGCCTCGGAGGTTTACTCGGCAGCATTTTAGACTCTATTTTCGGCGCTACGCTCCAGTATTCCGGTGAAATAACAATTACTTCAAATTACCTTAATAGCGTAAATACACAATAATTACCCTAACAAAAATAATAACAATAAATATTTTTTTTTAGGAATTAACGAAGAGGGAAAAATTGTTGAGCGACCTGGAAAAGGTGTCAAGCATATTTGTGGAAGACAAATTTTGGATAACCACAGCGTCAATCTTTTGTCTAGCATCGCGATAGCTCTGACGCTTCCGCGGATCGCTAATTTTATTTGGCCGTTTATAAAATAATCAAAATAAAGTTTATAAAGTTACAGATTGATATTAAAATTTGATACTCCGATATTTATTCTACTAAAAAGAAAAGAGACTAAAATTTTGCTGTATATATTTTTACAATAAAATTCTTATTAATTAATTGATTAGTGGGCTTATTATTTATAATATATTTTATTTTAATTACAATATATTTATTTTTACAATCAACATTTATTAGATATGTATTTAAAATATTTTTTAGTAAGTACATTTATTACATTGAAGAAGTAATAAAATAAATTTAATCAAGGATTTTATTTTATCTCGTTGTTTAGAAAATAAAATTATTTAGAATATTAATTTTTGGTGTTTTTTAATTGAGCTAATTTATTTTTAAAATATATACATTTATTAAAAATTAAAAGAAAATTATAAAATATACTAGAATTTTAGGCCGAATTATTTAATAAAAAATTAATTACTCTAATCGTTGTTAAACTTCAGCAATAAAGCGTATATATTTCCAGCAATTTATTATAAATTACAATTAAAAAAATAAAATACGCATACAATTAATAACTATAATAATAATTAATAATTATCGTAAAAAATATAACAATCAAAACTTAACCAACATTAAATCATTAAGTCTCGGAAGACTTATTTACATTTTTAGAGTGGCGAAAAAAATTGACTAGTTTTTTTTGGCTTAAGGTTTGTTATAAAAATATATTAATTTGTAATGTTTAAAAAATCTCCAAAAATTAGAGTGAGGAAAAATTTTCTGGAGCTTGCTCAAAATATTTTAAAAAATTTCTTTTTGTTCTAATCATTTAATTAAATAACATAATTTTCGTGTTAGATGAAAAATTGTAGTATTTTTTTTAGAAATTAGTTCCTGGTTTTACCACTAGATGACCAGTGGCTCTCGCTTTCAAAAAAATAATACTAGGGTATTTAACTCTTATAAAAAAATATGTTAATTTGTAGTGTTTAAAAATTCTTTTTCAAAGATCAGAGCGAAGAAAAATTTTCTAGAGCTTACTCAAGATTTTTAAAAGTTAAAAAATTTTTATTTTATTTTAATTATTTAATTGAATAACACAATTTTCTTGTTAGATAAGAAATTTTGGATAATTTTGTCTTTTTTTAAAAATGAATTCTTGGTTTTACCGCTAGATGGCCAGCGGCTCTCGCTTTCAGAAAAATCATACCAGGATATATAAGTCCTATAAAAATATATAAGCTTAAATTCTTTTAAAAGTCTTTTTTAAAGATCAGCTTTATAAAAAATTTTTTAGGAGTCACCCAAAATTTTTATAAGTTCAGAATATCAAAAATTGAATTTTTAATATTTTTTATCGTCTATTTTGTAAGTAAAAAAAAAACAGTCGATATTTTTGCGCCGTCCTATATATACTCTGGTAAGATTTTTCTAGAAGCGAGAGCCGTAGGCCACCTAGCGGTGAAATCAAGAACTAATTTCAAAAAAAAATTATTAAAAATAAAGTAAAAAATTTTTCATGATTTTCTAATCAATAAAAAATATTAAGGGACTTCTAAAATATTTTTTTTTGCGCCGCCTTTATATATACTCTGGTAAAATAATTCTAAAAGCGAGAGCCGTAGGCCACCTAGCGGTGAAACCAGGAACTAATTTTTAAAAAATTATTAAAAATAAAGTAAAAAATTTTTGATGATTTTCTAATGATTAGAAAGTATTTAACGACCTTTAAAATTTTTTTCAGGCCCTAAAAACATTTCAATTTAACATATTTTCATATTTAACCCAAAGAAGAAAATTGTCGCTCTTTAAGCGCCACTCTAATACTTATATAAATATAATACATGAATTACAAATAGAAAATTGAAATTTGCACCTTACATTAAAATTCAAATGTTTACATTAAATATATAAATATAAATCTAAATTTAATCAACACTGAGTTTGATATTGGTTGAGGTCATAAGTTGAGTCGTTGTGTTTGATAATAATCTCCTGCTCGTTCGCAACATTGTTATCTTCCTTGTCCTCCGTGAGAAGATTATGATGATGATGGTCACTGTTGTGGTTGTGATTGTGATTGTGCGAGTGATTTTCGATGATAAGTTTCTCAAGCTTTTCCTCCATAGGAAATTCTGCCTGATAGTCACACCTTTTCCTCTCCCGCCACCGGACCTGCAGTCGAGCGGACAAACTGAAACAATCAACATCCCACAATGGACTCGACTCGATTGTTGTCATTGACATGATACGGACACATTTCTTCTTTAACTAATTTATATTTCAATTTTATCTTATTATAAATTTTAATATACAAACTAAATGTTTATATTTATCTCCATTCATTTTATATGTAATTATATTTATAGAGAAGATTACTAACAGCAAGTTGTAATGCTTGTTAGCACTTTATTCCGCATCATGCCATTGACGAAATATTTATCTTATTTATCTCTAAATTAATTTGCGAAGCGCAAGTTTTGTTTCACTCACCAAATTAGGTTTATTGTAATTTTATTAAATTTTTTACTGATAGAAGAAGTTTTAGATATTTAATAAGTTTTATTAAATGTTAATAAATATTTATTAATTGTAATTTTCTTCCAAAAAATACTTATTTATAGTTGAAAAATTTCATAAACAAACAAGTTATTTTCAAATAAATAAACTAGATTCAAATTTAGTTTTAAAAGTCTCCGCCAGGTGGCTACTTCTTCTCGTAGTTAGAACTCTAAAACTTGACTATTTATCTTCACTAAAAAATTGTCAGAGGTCCAGAGTTCGAATCCCAGACAAGAAAATTTTTTTATACTTAAAGAAGAATTTTTTTATGTTTAATAAGTTTCATTAACCGTTAATAATTGATTTTTTAACATTGAGTAATTTAATAAAAATTTATTAAACTTTTTTTTTTAAAAATACTTATTTATAGTTTATTTCAGAAACTATCAAGTTATTTCCAAATAATTAAAAATAAACTAGATTGAAATTTAGTTTTAAAAAAGTCTCCGCCAGGTGGCTATTTCTTCTCGTAGTTAGAACTCTAAAATTTGAATATTTATATTCACTAAAAAATTTTTAGAGGTCCAGAGTTCGAATTTCAGGTAAAGAAATTTTTTTATAGTGAAAATAGAATTTTTTTATATTTAATAAATTTTATCAACTGTTAACAATTGATTTTTTAACATTAAATAATTTAATAAATATTTATTAAGTTATTAAATATTTGTTTATAGTTAATAAATATTTATTAATCGTACTTCGTTTCCAAAAAGTACTAATTTATTAATTAAAAAATTTCATAAAAAAATTATTTCCAAATAATTAAATTTAATAATTAAAAATAAATTAGATTTAAATTTAGTTTTAAAAGTCTCCGCTAGGTGGCTATTTTTTCTCGCAGTTAGAAATCTAAAATTTGAATATTTATATTCACTAAAAAATTTTTAGAGGTCCAGAGTTCGAATTTCAGGTAAAGAAATTTTTTTATAGTGAAAATAGAATTTTTTTATATTTAATAAATTTTATCAACTGTTAACAATTGATTTTTTAACATTAAATAATTTAATAAATATTTATTAAGTTATTAAATATTTGTTTATAGTTAATAAATATTTATTAATCGTAATTTATCAATTGTATTTTTTTCCAGAAAATATTTGTCTATAATTGAAAAATTTCATAAACTAACAAGTTTTTTCCAAATAATTAAAAATAAATTAGATTTAAATTTAGTTTTAAAAGTCTCCGCCAGGTGGCTATTTTTTCTCGTAGTTAGAACTTAAAAATTTGAGTATATATCTTCACTAAAAAATTTTCAGAGGTCCAAAGTTCGAATCCCAGGTAAAGAAATTTTTTTGTAGTGAAAAAATATTTTTTTTTTTATTTAGTTAGCTTCATTAACTGATAATAATTGACTTTTTAACATTAAATAATTCAATAAATATTTATCAATTTTTAATTAGAATTTATTAGACTCGTTAAAATAAAAAGAATAAATTTTGAGACTTTTTATAACTCTAAAATTTAAATAGATAATTTTATTAGATATCAAAAATTATTAAAATAATTAGAAAAAATAAAATTAATAAATGAATATGATTGTAATAAGTCACAGAATTTTTTTTAGCGGTGAAAATAATTAGTATATTTTTTCTTTATTAAAAAAAATTAACTAACTATTAATAAATATTTATTAACTGTAAATGAATATACTTTTCTTCCAAAAAATTTATATTATTACTTAGATAATATTTACTTATTAAATTGTTCAAATAAATTTATTTATTAACAATTAATAAATTCTTCTATCAGTAAATTAAGTATAATATTTTATAAAATAATTAAAAAAAAAAAATTTAACTTCTTCTCTGGCTTGCGTTTCACAATTAATGTAACAAAAGCTCTAGTTATTTTATAATGCACGTACAGCATTGTTGTGCACAATAATAAATGCAAGCTACATGACAAAGCATAAACCTTACAATTTACTCGCTTTTTTACTCTATTATTTTTCTTCTTTTTTTTTTGTTTAAGGTTTGTGTATTATTTACTACGGTTTAGTTTACTCACAGACACTGTTGTTGCGGTGCATGAGTTGGCACGTTTTCTGATAAGTACAGAACCTTCCCATCTTCGCTTAAACTGTGCTATGACCTAAAATATATACAATATTTATAGTATGCAATAGTATGTTCATCAATCATTATCGATTTGTCAATAAATATATTAATAATCATCGACATATAACAAAATTTTTCTACAGTCGGTCTTGTGATGTAAACATGCATTAAAAACTGTGTAATATTTTAGATTATTACTCACTAGTGGTGTAAATAATTTTTCTTACCTCACCGTTACAGAAGCAGAACAAAATCGCGACACATAGACCCTGAAAAAAAAATTTTAGAGTTGATATTAATTTATAAATTTATATTAATAAAATTTTGTATTTTTTAAAATAATTATAATAAAAAAATTTTAATGTTTCTTCCTGAATTTTTTCAATATTTTAATTTTCCATTTTTTAAAAAATAAATTTGAAAGAATCTCATTTTTTAATTTTAACATAATTTATGTAACGATTTAGATAGTTGAAAAAAATTATAAATAACAATAACAAATATGAGAAATATCATATATATAAAATATATGAAAAAAATCGTGTGTGTACTCAAATGAAAGGTCTCGATGAGCGTAACTGCAAGATGAGCTTATATCTTAAAAAATGTCAATAATAAAGAAATGACGTTGTATTTTGTTCACTGATGATATTTTTAACGATATAAGCTCATTTTGGAGTTACACTTATCGAGACCTTTCATTTGAATACCCACACGAATTTTTCATATATTTTATATATTTCACAAATATGAGAAATATCATATATATAAAATATATGAAAAAAATTATGTGTGTACTCAAATGAAAAGTCTCGATGAGCGTAACTGCAAGATGAGCTTATATTTTAAAAATTGTCAATAATAAAGAAATGACCTTGTATTTTGTTCACTGATGATATTTTTAACGATATAAGCTCATCCTGGAGTTACACTTATCGAGACCTTTCATTTGAATACCCACATGAATTTTTTCATATATTTTATATATTTCACAAATATGAGAAATATCATATATATACATATATATAAAATATATGAAAAAAATCGTGTGCGTACTCAAATGAAAGGTCTCGATGAGCCTAACATCAGGATGAGCTTATATCTTAAAAATTGTCAATATTAATGAAATAACGTGGTATTTTGTTCAGTGATGATATATTTAACGGTATAAGCTCATGTTGGAGTTACATTCATCAAGACCTTTCGTTTAAGTACTCACATCATTTTTTCATATATTTATACATATTATATATATATGTATATATGAAAAATATATAAAAAAGCATGTGAGTACTCAAATGAAAGCTCTTGATACGTGTAACATCGGGATGAGCTTATATCTTCAAAAATGTCTATAATTAAGAAATGACGTTGTATTTTGTCTACCAATGACATTTCCAACGATATAAGCTCATCCTAATGTATCGCTCATCAAGACCTTTCATTTGAATACCCACATGAATTTTTCATATATTTTATATATTTCACAAATATGAGAAATATCATATATATATATAAAATATATGAAAAAAATCGTGTGCGTACTCAAATGAAAAGTCTCGATGAGTGTAACATCAGGATGAGCTTATATCTTAAAAAATGTCAATATTTATATTTTTTTTCAATTTCTAAGATTAATAAAAAATTAAAAAAAATCCAACTGTGGCACAAAAAAATAGTTTTGTTAAAGAAGATATCTGATGATTGATATAAAAAATTAAATCCGTATAAATTACAAACAAAATACAGAACATTGATAAAAATCTAGGAAGTAAAATATCTAACAAAGTTAACTAAATCACAATGAATAAATTCTCACTTGAAATGAAGCAGTAACAGCAGAAACGATGTCATGAGTTTTTTCCCAGGAATGTCCTGGCGGAGGACGGAATGGTATCACGAGATAGTGCAGACCCAGAAGCGGGACCAGGAGCAGGGTGGCTCTGAAATAAATAACCGTTTAGTTTAGTTGGTAACTGAGTGGAGGGTTTTTATACTTTGGGTATAGTTAAATAATTCATTGTTAAAGCCCGGTTAATGCGAGGACAGTGTGATAATGATCTTTCGTCGAAAACTTTTTTCCAGAATGGATAAAGTTAAAAAAAAAAAAAAAAAAAAAACTAAAAAATTACACGGAAAAAGTTTCCGGATCTACATCCAGAGTTTGTTCTTTATACCTGAAAGCTTGAAGCATCGAGCGTGGTGGCCGGGTTCCGATTGCTGGCCCAGCTCTTAACTTGGTCAGAAGAACGCGAACAATGTTGCAGAGAAAGAGCAGGTTGAGGAGGGTTGACACGCAGACGGGATAAACCAGGACGCTTGTGAAGTTTCCTTCGTCGATCCAGCATCTGATGAATTCCAGAATTTATATTACTTTTTTTTAGTTTTAATTATTTTAGCTGACCTTTTAAACTTAAAATTAGATAAATGGTTTTTTATTAACTTGTTTAGTGATTTAAATTGATTTTTTTAAAAATAAATAGATAAAAAAAATCGTAAGAAACCTTTTTTATAGAGAATTAAATTCTCTGGGTAAAAGGTTCTTATCAATTTTTCTCTCTCTTATCATTTATCCAGAATTTCAATTTTAAACATGATTTCTATCGTGTCTACTCAGACCAAGTATTTAAAAAGTTTAAAATTGGAATTCTGGGCTGAGTACTGAAGATATGAAAAAATGATAAGAAACTTTTTTTATAGAAAATTAAATTTTTTATCTATAAGATCTTTATCAATTTTTTTATATCTCTTATCGTTTATCCAGAATTTTAATGTAAAATTTAATTTTAATCGTGCCTAATTAGACAAAGTGATTAGAAAGTTAAAAATTAAAATTTTGGCTTAAATATTAAAAATATGAAAAATAAGATAACTTTTTTAACTCTAAGCCAATTTTTTTTCATGTTCTATTTTTTACACTGAACATTTATTAATTTTTAATAAATTAATTATTCAATGTTTATAATTTATATTATTAAAAATAATATAAATTTAGTTAGAATGTGCTTATAGTGACAGTTTGTAAAAAATGTGGTTAGGATACTTAGTTCTTGTCTTCGCCGCTAGGTGGCAATTTTTTCTCGCTGGTAAAGAAACCTTGCCAGAGTATATAAAAGTTCTAATTTTTTATTAATAATTTTGAATATTTAAAAATAATTTTCTGTTATTATATAAAAATTATATTGAGAAAATGTTAATATAGGGTAAATGGACCAATTATTGACCGATTAAGGTTTTCTTTTTCTGTACTAAGCTATAAAAAATCTATTAACCTACTAGAAACAATTTGTAATGGATTTTATTAAAGATAAATACTTAATTAATAATAATTAATAACTATTTATAATAAAAATTAACAAAATTATATTAATTTTGTTATTTGAAACTTGAAATACTAAAATCACCAATTATTGACCGAAGAAACCCAATAAATAACCGACCGTTCTCCAATTAATTGACCGCTCAAATAATTATAAGTAATTTTGTAAACTAGTTGTATGTAATTAAATTTATGGAGTACTTTTGAAGTATTAACGACATCTTTAACAAGACTAAACATACAATATAATTTTAAATCGTACTTTTTTATAAAATAATATAAATAATAGCAATAATTAACATAAAGTCACATTTCTTTAGGTTATAAATAATCACAAATTCATTTTGATGACGATAATTCTTCTGATTAACTTGAAATTTTATTATTCTTCTCCTTTTTTTTTTCAATTAAAGCTTTTTTACTAGCTTTTAACTCTTTTTTATTTTTTTAATTGCTTAGCAATTTTTTCTTCTAATAATTCGTTCTTTGATATAACCGTTCACTAAAAAAATTACAACAAAATAAAATTTAGTAATCAAAAAAGATTTTAAGTATTATTTCAATTGTAAATATATATTTTATAATGATTATTTTTATATTTACAAAATATTGAATGACTAAAGTACTTTAAACACTTGACAGATTTAATTTTGAGCTTAAGAAGTTAGTATTATAATTATACGGTCATTAATTGGATTGTGATAAAATCAGAGAGTCTAATAAATGACAGAATGAATTTTTTACTGGGTAAAGGGCTTCTGACGGATCCAATAGTTGACCGGTCTTAAAATAATATTAAAACTTATAATTTAACTTTATTTTTTCAAAAAAGTTGGAATCTGATCTTTAATTAACATAATAAAACTAAAATATTTTATATTATGCCGATAAATATCACTAAATTAATGATGAAATGCACTCACTCTCCAATTGTACGCTAGTTATTTTTGACCGCTTTATGGCTGGTTGCGTTGTAAACAAACTCAGAATATTTTTTTTTAAAGCTATAATCACTGCGCAATTAATTGCGTAATTTTTTATTATGATGATTAAATGCCATATTGTTTTATTTTAATACTTTAAGAAAAAAAAACCCTTGTAAAATATTAATTAATTAACCTTTTTATACATCGGTCAACTAATTGGTGACCGGTCAACTTTTTAATATTCAACTCTGAGCCAATTTTTTTGTTTAGTTTTTTACACTGATTATTTATTAATTTTCAATGAATTTGATTTAATAGATTAATTATTAAATATTGAAAATATAAAAAAATCATAAGATAACTTTTTTGTAGAAAATTTGATTGTTGGGGCATTCCATGAAAAATGGGAAAATGACTAAAATCTAAACATTTCTCTAATTCATTTTAATTTAGTCCTATAATTTATTATTAAAAGTTTATATTTTATTAATTTGTAAAGAAAATTTTTTTTAATCAATAAAAAAAATCGATTTTTCTCTCCGTGTATAAGTTTCAGTCACATAATTATTATTATACAGAGAAAGAAAAATTTCTTGACTGGAGAAGTAAAAATTTTTCTTAAAATTCTATCCTTGGTGAGTCATTTTTTCTTAATTCAAATTATCATAAATATCTACTTGATAGAATAAATTTTTATACTTGATACCCATTTTATATTTTTCTGGTCAATATTTGATTTTTTTGCACTTTACTTTCAGGTTTTATTCTGCAAAATATTAACCATTCCAAGAAACAATAATTCAGACAGCCCGGATCGGGAATCGAACCAGCACCCAAAATTCTCGTCGCCGAACATAATAACAAAATAGATTCTGAATTCTGGTGCATATTATGCTAAATATATGACGATAACAAATTGATTTATGCTGATGATAGCAGACAAGTTGGAAGATCGATTGACGTAGTAACCACCGGTCTGTTATAGAGTATCAGGATACCCAATGCCTCGATGGATATTGCGGTTTGTCCATCGGATTACTGTCCTCTCCACCTTCACATATTTAACGTATAACGAGAAGAGGATTCCGTACCACTGTTCTATACAATTTATCCAGAGCATTAGTGCACCAGAAGCTTAGGCTACAAGCTCCATAAATACCAAGCCATTATTCTGTTTATCATTCATGGAGCAGGATATGTTATCTTTAATTTTGTCAATTATGCCGATCTTATTCAATTATTAATTATTACTTAAGCTTCGTATTATTTCAAGATAAAATTTATTTCAATACTTAAGTACTCTTTTTTGGTAATAATTAAATTTTAACGCACTTGAATTTAAAAAAAAATATATAATTTTTTAAAAATTTTTTTCAAAGTTGTATATGAAGTTTTCCAATTTTCAACATAAAATTATTTTTTCACTAAGAAAAATCCTAAAAATTTATAATAGTCTGCTAATTAAATTTCCATAAATTATAAAATAAATAATTGTTAGCGCTAATTTATTTATTAAATGAAACTGAAGTAAGCAGACGTATAAAAATTTTTGATTTCTTTTTAAAATTAAATTACAACTAAAAAGATATTTTTAAAAAATTTCGCTTATAGTTTTTCAAGTTTTTTACAAGTGAAATTTTTTTTTAATTGTTTAATTGAAATTTTTTTAATAAAAAATTTTGAAATGTCAGCTAATTTCATTTTCATATTTATTAAATAAATCTTAGAGTAATAATGATTTTATTTAAAAATCGAATTTTAAATTTCCCGCTCATTTCAATTTTCTTTCCGCTCTTCGCCGTCAGAGGTCAGAGTACAAAAAAACATTGCCCAAAGTTCTCAGTTCTACAGTTTCATTCCATATACAAAGATTCGATGAAATTATAACCTATAAATTTACAAGTAATGGAGAAGATGTCAATTAATACACCAAGAATTGAAGCAAATACCGACAGCAAGTCTTTTGCAACAATACCAGAGTCTAAAACTGAAGAAAGAAGTTTTAAGGTTATTTTTGTAGTTATTATAATATACTTTACGTTATTAAAATATTAAAATATTTTTTTCAGAATTTTGGGATTGATAATCCTTCAAACGATGAATTTACCTTGCATTTTTCTGAAAGTTCAAACGAAGATTTTGCTATTGTTGATCAAGTTGGCAAGATAGGATCTAAAAATGATGTTTCTCTTCAGAACTTAAGTACTTACAGTAAAATATTGAAATAATTTCAATAATAATCAAAAAATATTTTTGGTAAAATTGACTTTTTTTTTTTAGAAAAAATAATTCCAACTAAAGGGAAAATTTTAAATCAAGAGCAAGTTTCAATTCAAGATTTAGTTAAAATTTCTTCAATAATGAAACCCGAGGCTGTAAAAATAAGTAAGTATAAGTCAGAGTTTGATTCGACAGAAATTGAACATTTAGAGGGTATTTGGATCTTCTTAAAGGCCTGAAAAAAATTTAAGAGGTCACTCAATACTTTTTAATGCTTAGAAAATTATAAAAAATTTTTTACTTTATTTTTAACAATTTTTTAAAAATTAATTCTTGGTTTCACCGCTAGGTGGCCCACAGCTCTCGCTTCTAGAAAAATCTTAGCAGAGTATATATAAGAGCGGCGCAACAATACTTTTTTTTTAACTTACAAAATAGACTGACGATAAAAAATATTAAAAATTGAATTTTAGACATTCTGAACTTCTAAAAATTTTGGGTGACTCCTAAAAAATTTTTTATAGAGCTCATTTTTGAAAAAGACTTTTGAAACATTATAAACTAACATATCTTCATAGGACTTAAATACTCGGGTATGAATATTTTCGAAAGCGAGAGCCGCTGGCCACCTAGCGGTGAAACTAAGAACTAATTTTGTAAAAAAAAACAAAATTCTCCAAAATTTATTATCTAAAAAGAAAATTGTGTTATTTAATTAAAATATAAGGATAAAAAATTTTTTAATTTTAAGGAGGATAGCCACTGTAATATTAAAAAAAAAAACTATTTAATAAGTACATTTTTCGAAAATTTCCTCAAAAATATTATTAATTAATTTAAAAATTAATTTTAAGATGCATAAAAAAAGTATTTTTACGTGTTATTTTTTAATAGACATTATTTATACTGGGAGGGTACTTGGGTTTCTTTAATTTGTATAATTTTTGCAGAACGGCTTCAAAGACGTAAAAAGAGCCTCCAGGTTTTCCCTTCCAGTAGGGGCAGCTGCACAATAAAATTAAGGTCAAAAACCCACGTGGAGAAGTTAGAGGAAAAACACATTCGAACTCACAGTGATTTAAAATCTTTTGTGTGTGAAGTTTGTGACGCTAGATTTCCTCGAAAATATCATTTACTTAGACACATTTACAGTGATAAAAATAAAAAAATTTTTGAATGCGACACTTGTTCGGAAAAATTAGCAAAAAAATGCGGATTGATTAAACATATTAAAAGTCATTCGGAAAATAAAGACTGTCACGTTAAAAAAAATAACGAATCTCGAATTTTTCAATGTTCTATTTGTTTATCCAAATTTGCGAGTTCAAGCAACTTAAAAAGACATGCGCGCATTCATACGGGGGAAAAACCGCACGCGTGCAAGATTTGTTCCGTAAGATTTTCTCGGAAAGATTATTTGCAGCGTCATCTTCTTTTCCACGAGGACGAATCTTTGTTTGAGTGTCCCATTCGTTCAGAAAAATTTGAGCACAGAGCTGAGCTAGACAATCATAAAAGAGATCACTTGAAGAAGAAGCCTTTTAAGTGCAATGATTGTTCCAAAACATTTATTGATGCTAAGACACTGAAAAGACATCGTGAAATTCTCAAAGACAAAAAACTAAACCGTAAAAGATTTGAGTGCGATGTTTGTTCATCTCAATTGTCTAGAAAAGATAATTTGATCGCTCATTTAAGAGCTCATGAGAAATTTCCGCTTGTTTGCGAGGTTTGTTCGGAAAAATTTGTTAAAAGAGTTGATCTAAAAGAGCATGTGAAAATTCACATGGATGAAAAACCTTTTATGTGTAAAGATTGCTTTAAATTATTTGCTGAAAGCGAAAAGTTAGAAGAGCACGTAAGAATTCATGATGAAGAAAAGCCAAATATTTGTGAGATTTGCTCGAAAAGATTCAAACGAAATGACCGATTGCTTAAACACATGCAGTTTCATACTAAAGAGAAACCATTTGTGTGCGAAGTTTGTTCGATAAGATTTGCTGAAAAAAGGTCTCTGGTTAGACACTCAAAAACTCACAATATAGCTTTTAGGTGCAACATTTGTTCAGCGAAGTTCATTCGGAAAAGCGATCTTGGGAATCATATGAAAATTCATATAAATAAAAAGTCATTTAAATGCAGCGATTGCTTTGAATATCAATGTTCGATTTGTGGGAAGAAATTCAACCGTAACAGTTTGAGTTGTCATAAACGAACTCATGTTGAAAAAAAATCTTATGAGTGTGATAATTGCTCTAAGAAATTCAATCGGAAATCTGGCATTGTTAATCATATGAAAAGTCATATGAAGAAAAAATTAATCAAATGTCTTTATTGTTCTGAGAAATTTTTGCAAAAGAATCAATTGGAAAGCCACATGAGGATTCATACGAAAGAAAAGCCGTTTAAGTGTAAGAATTGTACTGCGAGGTTCAAACGAAAGGATCATTTAGATAGACACTATCGAATCCATACAGGGGAAAAACCGTTTGTGTGCAAAATTTGTAAAGCCAAATTTTATCGGAAAGATTACTTGGCTGATCACGAAAAAAAACATGAGGAAGATACATCTTATAATTGTGAGATTTGTTCGGATAAGTTTGTTCGGAGACAGGATTTTCGTACTCATGTTAGAAATCATGAACGGGAAAAGACGTTCAAGTGCGTATATTGCAAGTTGAAGTTTTTTAATAATGAGGAATTGAAGGAACATGTTACGATTCATGCTGAAAGAGTTTTTATTAGAAGCATGCAGATTTTTCAGTACTAATTTCAGTAGTAACTATCTTTAAACATCATTTTTATTGAAGGTGTATAAAATTGTTATGGAAGGTAGTGTTATTTTATATATTTTTTATATAAAATGTGTTATTTTATATATAAAAAACGTGTTAATAATTAAAATAATACGAATTGTTATAAATACTTTTCTCCTTCGTTAGAATCTACGAATCGTTTAATCAGATTGATATAATATTTAATAAAAATTTGTTGAATTATTACAAAATTTATATAGATTCAAAGATTTGAAAAATACGTACTATTGTAGATTAAAAATAAAAGTTATCTCAAATTTTTATAAGCATAATACTACTAGTTTGTATTTGAATCCCAGACGGTCACTATTTAGTAAGGTATGTTCAATATTTACAGCAATCGGCTGTAACTTTAATTATTACAACTAGCGACCTTGCAGTCACTGTCTGATTGCCGTAAATTGTAAACGATGAATAAATAAAATTTTGTTTTATTCAATATAGTCATGTGGGGCAAATGTGCGCAGCGGGTAACAATGCGCAATCCCACACACTGATAAAAAAATTAACTTGACTCAAGAGTCAAAATCTTGAACCAAGAATACCATTTTGAAGGAAATAATTTTCTTGAGTCAAGAGAAAAAATTCTTGAGTTAAGAAATTATTATTGATCTAAGAAAAATTTTTTTGTTTCAACAATGTATACTCTTGACTCAAGAAAATCATTTTCTTCAAAATGGTATTCTTGGTTCAAGATTTTGGTTTTTGAGTCAAGTTAATTTTTTTATCAGTGCATGTATTTGGGACTTCAATGAATGGACTTAAATATAATATATAATTTTTTTTCTAATAATTTTTTAGGATACAATAAATAATATAAACTTGATTTTTTTATTGTTTTAAAATCTTTAAAGATATTTGTAATTCGATATTTTTCAATATTAATAAAATTAAAAAAAAAAAAAGAAATGTCTATGAATTTAAAATGATATTAAAATTAACAGATGTTAAAAATATTTTAATTAATTTTATTAATTAAAAATTAGAACTTAAAAATTATTTTTCAAAGTTATATATAAAGTTTTTTAATTTTTAACATAAAATTTTTTTGTAATTATTTTTTCACTGAGAAAATTCCTAAAAATTTATAAATGTCTGCTAATTTAATTTCCATAAATTATAAAAAACATAATTGTTAGCGCTAATTTATTTATGAAATAAATCTGAGAGAAAAAAATGATTTTATTTAAAAATCGAATTTTAAATTTCCCGCTCATTTCAAATTTTTTCCACCCTTCGCCGTCAGATGTCAGAGTACACAAAAAACATTATCCAAAGTTCCCAGGCCCACAGTTTCATTCTTCATAAAAAGGTTCGACGGAATTATAACCTAAATTTACAAATAATGGAAAAAATGAATATTGACACGTCAAAAATTACAGTAAATACCGACAGCAAGTCTTTTAAAAAAATACCAGAGTCTAAAACTGAAGAAAGAAGTTTTAAGGTTATATTTGAAGTTATTATAATATACTTTACGTTATTGAAATATTTATATATTTTTTTTTTTCAGAATGTTGTGATTGATATCTCTTCAGACGATGAATTTACCTTGCATTATACTGAAAGTTCAAACGAAGGTTTTGCTATTGTTGATCAAGTTGGCAAGATAGGATCTAAAAATGATGTTTCTCTTCAGAACTTAAGTAATTACAATAAAATAATAAAATAATTTCAATAATAATTGAAAAATTTTTTTGTTAAAATTGACTTTTTTTTTTTTCAGAAAAAATAATTCCAAATACAGGAAAAATTTTAAATCAAGAGCAAGTTTCAATTCAAGATTTAGTTGAAATTTCTTCAATAATGAAACCCGAGGCTGTAAAAATAAGTAAGTATAAGTTAGAGTTTGATTCGACAGAAATTGAAAATTTAAGGAGATCCACGCAAAATAGTCAAATTTTTAAAACTTCCTTAAAATTTGTAAATTTAATCTACGTACTCTAATAATTAATAAAAAAATTAAAAAACCCGTTTCCGGGATATTTAATGAAATAATTAGGTTTGAAAATTGTAATTTTTACATGTGAATGGAGATTCCACCAGCCATGTATTTGCTTAAGAATTTAATGCAATTAATGATTTAAAAAAAATTTTATTTTCATTGAATTTGATTGAAAAAATAATAAGCTTTCGATTAAAATAATAAAAAAGTACTTGGATCTCCTTACGAGCCCGGAAAAAATTTTAGAGGTCGCTCAATACTTTTTAATGATTAGATAATCATTAAATACTTTTTACTTGATTTTTAATAATTTTTTAAAAATTAATTCTTGGTTTCACCGCTAGGTGGCCTACGGCTCTCGCTTCTAGAAAAATCTTACCAGAGTATATATAAGAGCGGCGCAACAATACTTTTTTTTTTAACTTACAAAATAGACTGACGATAAAAAATATTAAAAATTGAATTTTAGACATTCTGAACTTCTAAAAATTTTGGGTGACTCCTAAAAAATTTTTTATAGAGCTCATTTTTGAAAAAGACTTTTGAAATATTATAAACTAACATATCTTCATAGGACTTAAATACTCGGGTATGAATATTTTCGAAAGCGAGAGCCGCTGGCCACCTAGCGGTGAAACTAAGAACTAATTTTGTAAAAAAAAACAAAATTCTCCAAAATTTATTATCTAAAAAGAAAATTGTGTTATTTAATTAAAATATAAGGATAAAAAATTTTTTAATTTTAAGGAGGATAGCCACTGTAATATTAAAAAAAAAAACTATTTAATAAGTACATTTTTCGAAAATTTCCTCAAAAATGTTATTAATTAATTTAAAAATTAATTTTAAGATGCATAAAAAGTATTTTTACGTGTTATTTTTTAATAGACATTATTTATACTAGGAGGGTACTTGGGTTTCTTTAATTTGTATAATTTTTGCAGAACGGCTTCAAAGACGTAAAAAGAGCCGCCAGGTTTTACCTTCCAGTAGTGACAGCTGCACACAAAAATTAAGTTCAAAGTCCCACGTGGAGAAGTTAGAGGAAAAACACATTCTAACTCACAGTGATTCAAAATCGTTTGTGTGTGAATTTTGTGACGCTAGATTTGTTCGAAAATACCATTTATACAAACATATTAACGGTGTTAAAAATAAAAAAATTTTTGAATGCGACACGTGCTCGAAAAAACTAGCAAAAAAGTGCGGATTGATTAAACATATTCAAAGGCATTCAAAAAAGAAAGACCGTCAAGTCAAAAAAAATAATGTCAAATCAAAAAAAATAAAGTCTCAAATTTTTCAATGTTCTATTTGTTTCTTCACATTTGTGGGTTCAAGAAGTTTAAGAAGACATGCGCGTGTTCATACGGGAGAAAAACCCTACGCGTGCGAGATTTGTTTCGAAAAATTTGCTCGGAAAGATTATTTGAAGCGTCATCTTCTCCTTCACGAGGAACAATATTTGTTTAATAAAATAGATCACTTGAAGAAGGAGACTTTTAAGTGCAATGATTGTTCCAAAACATTTATTGATGCTAATGAACTGAAAAGTCACCGTGAAATTCATAAAGACAAAAAACTAAAGTGTAAAACATTTGAGTGCGATGTTTTTTCAACTCAATTTACTCGAAAAGATAATTCGATCACTCATTTAAGCGTTCATGATAAATTTTCGCTTGTTTGCGAGGTTTGTTCGGAACAATTTGTTAAGAAAGTTGATCTAAAAGAGCACGTGAAAATTCACATGGATAAAAAACCTTTTATGTGTAAAGATTGCTTTAAATTATTTGCTGAAAGCGAAAAGTTAGAAGAGCACGTAAGAATTCATGATGAAGAAAAGCCAAATATTTGTGAGATTTGCTCGAAAAGATTCAAACGAAATGACCAATTGCTTCAACACTTGCAGTTTCATACTGAAGAGAAACCATTTGTGTGCGAAGTTTGTTCGGTAAGATTCGCTAATAAAAGGTCTCTGGTTATTCACTCAAAAACTCACAATATAGCTTTTAAGTGCAAGATTTGTTCAACGGAGTTCATTCGGAAAATTGATCTTGAAGATCATATGAAAAATCATGTAAATAAAAAGTCATTTAAATGCAGCGATTGCTTTGTGGTATTTTCTGAAAGAAATGAACTGGAGCGCCATCTTGAAACTCACGTTAAATATCAATCTCCGATTTGTGAGAAGAAATTCAACCGTAACAGTTGTCATAAACGAACTCATATTGAAAAAAAAACTTTTGAGTGTGATAATTGCTCTAAGAAATTCAATCGGAAATCTAGCATTTTTAATCATATGAAAAGTCATATGAAGAAAAAATTAATGAAATGTCTTTATTGCTCGGAGAAATTTTTGCAAAATAATCAATTAGAAAGCCACATGAGGATTCATACGAAAGAAAAGCCGTTTAAGTGTAAGGATTGTACTGCGATGTTCAAACGAAAGGATCATTTAGATCGACACTATCGAATTCATACTGGGGAAAAACCGTTTGTGTGCAAAATTTGTAAAGCCAAATTTTATCGGAAAGATTACTTGGCTAATCACGAAAAAAAAACATGTGGAAGATAAATCTTATAATTGAGAGATTTGTTCGGAAAAGTTTGTTCGGAGAAAGGATTTTTGTACTCATGTTAGAAATCATGAACGGGAAAAGATGTTCAAGTGCATATATTGCAAGGAGAAGTTTTTTAATAATGAGGAATTGAAGGAACGTTAAGATTCATGCTGAAAGAGTGTTTATAAGAAGCTTGCAGGTTTTTCAGTACTAATTTCAGTAGTTACAATTTTTAAAGACCATTTTTATTGAAAGTGTATAAAATTTTATGGAAGGTAGTAGTATTTTGAAAGTAAATACTTGCTTTTATGTACAGTATTTATAATATTGTTATTATAATTATTGGTAATTAAGGGGGTATTCTATGAATTTCAGGTAATTTTTGATGTGCCGTAAAAGGCAATCAATATTTTTTTTTACTATACATTTTTTTAAAAGTTATTTATAAACATTATTACAAGAATACAGAAAAAAATAAAACAATAGAAAAAGTTGAAAATTCAAAAAATTAGCTGCTGATAAAGTGGGGGGCGGGGGTCTCAAAAAATTCTCACGTGACCATGCATACGATTGCAACCCTCCTAGCAATTGGAAATAAAAAAATATAAAAGATTATTAATCTAGAGTAATGTCGCTATGGCATGAACTAGGGAAAAGTTGAAAAAAAATTTTTTCACAAAATGGCGACTGCCTGAAAAAAAAATATTTTTTGTGCTACTTTTTTTAACTTTTTCGAATTTTTTTAAAATAGTAAAAATTGAAATTTGGGGATGACCCTAGTTCATACCATAGCGACATTACTCTAGATTAATATTTTTTTTATTTTTTTAGTTCCGATTGCTAGGAAGGTTGGAATCGTGGGCATGGTCCCTCGCCAATTTTTTGAGCCCCCCCCCTCCCCACTTCTTCAGCTGCTAATTTTTTGAATTTTCAACTTTTTTCATTTTTTCTTTATTCTTGTAATGTTAATAAACAACTTGTAAAAAAATGTATAGTAAAAATGTTGATTGCTTTTTTTTGCGGCACTTCAAAATATTACCTGAAATTCATGCTTCTAGACTAGAATACCCTCTTAAAACTAAAAAAATTACAGTTTGTAATAACATTTTTCTAAATTCAATTTTTTAATTTAATTTTCAGAGCTTTCAATGTAAATATTACATTCTACAATGTAATTGTTATAAAATCAGTAATAATTACAATGTAATTTTTCTAGTTTTCATAACGAAGCGCCACATTGCATTATATACTGTAATTTTTCTAATTTTCTTTTTTCCGTGTGATGGATCTCTTAAAATTGAAATTTTGAGTTCCACTTTTAACAGGAGTTGTGTTTTTGGGCATCTCCCGAGATATTTTTAGCGTAAGTTATTTAATTGATTTTCATATAATTTTTTAACAGGATAATTTAACTATGATAATCTAACAAATCCCTTACGCTTAAAATATCTCAGGAAATGCCCAAACACAACTCCTGTTAAAAGCGGAACTCAAAATTCCAATTTTAAGAGGTACATCACTGAAGTTTAAATTTGGCACTCCCTAATATATAAATATATATATTTATATAAAAATGGTTTTAATAATTAAATTAATACTCAACTTAATAATTGCAGTGTATTGTAGTAAATAATCGAATATACCTGATATTAATATGCGTTCGGCTTTTTATTTAAATGTTCTTCAATTGTTATTAAATATCTTTTCCTTCGTTAAAAACTACTAATTGTTTAATCAGATTAATATAACATTTGATAAAAATTTATTAAACTACTACAAAATTTATATGGATATAAAGATTTGAAAAAAAAGGTACTATTGTAGATTAAAAATAAAAGTTATTTATAAGTTTTATAAGCATAATACTACTAATACTTTGTATTTGAAGCCCAGGCGGTCAGTATTTAGTAAGGTATGTTCAATATTTGCAGCAATCGGCTGTAACCTTAACTATTACAACTAGTAAAACCTTGCGTCAGTATGTGACTGCCGTGACTTGTAAACTATAAATAAATAAAATTTTGCTTTATTCAATAATGACTTTTGTTAAATTGCACTGTACTTTGTTAATTTTTTATATTTTTAAAGATATAAGCTCATCCTGATGTTACACTCATCAAGAGCTTTCATTTGAGTACCCACATGCATTTTTGATATATTTTTCATATATACATGTATATAATATATATTTTAAAGATATAAGCTCATACCGATGTTACACTCATCAAGAGCTTTCATTTGAGTACCCACATGCATTTTTGATATATTTTTCATATATACATATATATAATATATATAAATATATAAAATATATGAAAAATGCATGTGGGTACTCAAATGAAAGGTCTTGATGAGTGTAACATCGGGATGAGCTTATATCTTTAAAAATGTCAATAGTTTACGAAATACAAGGTCCTTTCTTAATTATGTATCTATATATAGAACATTTTCGAATGAAGCCTAAATACTTATCATCATAAATTGACTATTGGTGAAATGATATGAAACCATGAAAAGGCACAACTCAATGTCAAGACTTTTCTAACGAAACCAAATTTAACCATAAAAACCTATTTTATCATGTAAATAAACTGACCACAAAATTTTGCTTATTCTCTTAATAATATAGATTAAATCGATGGTCTAATTAGCAATTTGTCTAACTCCTTATTTTTTAGAGGGTAATTTTTTAACATTTTGATGCAGCAATAATCCAATTATAAATTATTTAAATGATTCAAACCAAAATATTATACCTCTATTAGATATTCATGATATTAAATGGTTTTTTAAAGTGATAATAAATTTTAAACTAATTGTTTTTTTCGTGCAAATGGAAGATTCTCTAAAATGGAGTTCTTTTAATAAATTAGCAAATAATTTATTTATGTCAATTTTATCTAAACTGGTCAATAATTGGACCCTTTACCCTAATTAATAATTTCAATAAAAATGATAACTTACAAACGTAAGTAATCTAAATTGCTCCGTGTCTTACTTGGAATCATGAAGCAAGATTCAATCAATCGTAGAATTTTCGTTCAAAGTTTCTATTTGGATACTTTGATTGATTGAAATACTCGAAGCAGTCATTTTCATCTATAGGTCTCCGGGATATCTCGGAATAAAAGTTTATGCAGAGTGGCGTTTCATGTGATATCAAGGCAAGTCCTGAGGGATCGTCCTATTTGCAAGCTTTTACCTCAAACTCTCTCTAGCGTAGTATATAGGTTTACTAGGCTACTATTATACAGCTCTATCTATATATTTATATATAGATATTATATAAAGTGTGGTGTCGGTCGTCAGTATGCCATGATATCGTGTAACTACCCTTTAGCGTTCTCTCATTCTCTTGTTTGTGTTTCGCCACTTCCGTCCTCCCGCTTAGTTGTTGCTTTGTATTTGTCTCGATGGATAAATTGCATCGGTGCCGACGTTGTCAAGATGGAAAATTTTTATTGATTGATTTTTATTGCTTCTTCATTGTACGGCTAGTTACAGTTTTAGTTTTGTTCTCTTTCTTCCTTTTACTTCCATTTAATTCAATTTTTTTTATTAAATTATTTTATTTCGTTAATTTCTATAAAAATAATATAACTAGCAACCTTGCAGTCACTATGTGACTGCCGTGACTTGTGAACTATAAATAAATGTTAAATGAATTTTGTTAAATTGCACTGTAATTGATGTGGGTACTCAAATGAAAGGTTTCGATGAGTGTAATGTCAGGGTGAGCTTACATCTTAAAAAATGTCAACAGTTCACAAGATATTTATTAAAATTCCCTGTATTTTCTTAAAGATTGACTTTTTTAAAGATATAAGCTCATCCTGATGTTACACTCATCAAGAGCTTTCATTTGAGTACCCACATGCATTTTTGATATATTTTTCATGTATACATATATATAATCTATATATAAATATATAAAATATATGAAAAATTGATGTGGGTACTCAAATGAAAGGTCTCGATGAGTGTAACGTTGTAATGAGCTTATATCTTAAAAAATATCAATAGTTCTCAAGATACAAGGTCATTTCTTAATTATGTATCTAGAGATAGACAATTTTTGAATGCAGCCTAAATATTATAACCAATTGACTATCGGTGAGAATGAAATAAAACTTTGAAAAGGCACAAATTCAAGTCAACACCTTTGCAATGACACTAAATTTCACTAAAAAAACCGATTTTATCATATAACTATCCTGGAAACAAAATTTTTTTTATTCTTTTAATACTTAATATAGATTCAGTTTAGAATATTTTTATAGTGAAGGTTTGTAAGTAACGCAATTAGAATACTTAGTTCTTGTCTTCGCCGCTAGGTGGCGATTTTTTCTCGCTGGTAGAAAAATCTTACCAGAGTATATAAAAGTTTCAATTTTTTGTTCCTAATTTTGAATATTTAAAAACGATTTTTTGTTTTTATAGAAAACTAATATTGAGAAATTATATATAGCTCTATTTTTTACACTGAAAATTAAATTTTATTTAATAAATTAATCCCTAAATGGTTATAATTTTTTTTATTTTTAAAAAATCTAAAATCTTTAAGAAATTATTGTTACTAACTTCAAAGTTATCAATCTTAAAGTTTGAACATTAATATCAAGAAAATAAAGGTCAGAAAAAAATAATTGCGGCTGTAATAACAATAATAATTATAATTAAAGCAGATAAGACAAGACCAAGAAAAATTTGAGTTTTAATTAAAAAAGTTGATGTCCGTAATTTATTACATCCTTATAAAATTTGTCCGGCACTCTCACATTTAAACAAAGTCCAATTATTTTTGCCAAGAATAATATAACTAGATTTAGACATCCACACACATTCAATCCGACTCAATTTCCACTGGCGGTCTTATTCTTTACGCTTCATTTAGTATCTCCCATTTCAGTAATGAAACTCCAGTAAGATAAGATGATTACTTTCATTCTCTTTTTATCCTCATTTAGATTCCGCTGAAAAAATGATAAAATGCGGAAATAAAACGTCAGAGAGGTTTTTTTTCTTATTCTTTTTTCGGTTTCTTCTGTTTGCAAAAAAACACCCTATTCAATTTTATCAAAGGAAACGTGTAAGGATCAAAAGTCGGGTCCGAATCATTATTTATACTTACGTGAACTTAAGTAATTAGAGCATATCAAACGTGCTCAGAATTTTTTAATAGGCTTATTTTTTTAAATTTGATTTTATGTTTTCTAAAATTTATATTTTACTAATTTGTAAAGAAATTTTTTTTTTAATCAATAAGAAAATTGATTTTTCTCTCCTAGTAACTTTTCAGCCGTACTAACTTGTATCCGGGTCAAATGTTGTTTTAATAGTCTTAAGAATAAATTCATTTTATGCTTGTTATTAACTAACATATTTATTATTATAGTTTTAAGAACAAATTTTTTTATGTTCGTTATTAATTAACACCTAAGTTTATCAAGATCGTGTTGTCAGCATGCTAAATCCTTTATTTGTCTTTTTTAATTAGTTTTTTTTAATTATCCTAAATAATTTATAGTTAAATATACAAACAATAATGTTTCTAAGGTTGAAATAATATAAAAGTCTTTTTAATAAACTACTTGATGTAGACATTTTGTACTTGTCCCACCAGTCACAATAAAAAAATTTTTTTCAATTGTTTCTACGTAGGTAATCAGTCTAATTCTTCATAATATTGAATGTTTGTAGGATAAATTTTGTATTGAGAGGGAAGTATTTTTTTAAAAGTTTAGTGGTCGAACTGAAATTGGACTTTAAGTATACCTTTGGTAAGAGAGAAGGATTTTTCGATGTCCTACTAGTCACACTCAGTCAAATGATAATTACGAAAAACTTAAAAAGTAATCGAAGTTTTTGACAAAGGGGTGTTGTTAATTAGTTATTCTTCTATATTATAAGATAAATATTACTATAATATGAGTTTCAGTCACATAATTATAGCATATAATTGATGGAATTCCAGAGTCAAATGTCCCACCAGTTACTATGGAATGCCCGTAGAATTCTTTTGGATTTTTGAATTTCCTTGATTTAAACTAAAGATATTATTAAAATTCTGGCTAAATGATAAGAGATAGCGAAAAATTGATGACCTTTTTGTTAGAAAATTAAATTTTCTACAATAAAGATATCTTATGATTTTTTCATATAAGGTAAGAGCCCCTATTATTGACACTATAAGAGTGACGGCGAACATTTGAATTTTTTAACCGTATTCAAATTAATCTGACTAATTTTTTTTTGTATTAAACACTATTTTTGATTCATCAACTTGTGTATTTTAATTTTTATACTTAAATAGTCGTTAATTAAATGACAAATATATTAATTTGAAATCAGCAACTCAAGTGTAGGTATTATTGGCAGGGTGAAATGGTATCGGAGCCAACTATTGACACCCATAGACCCTATTATTGACAGGTGTCAACCCTATTATTCAGGTTTAATTGAAATTTAAACTTCGAATATAATTTATTATTTACTAGTAAACAACAATATTTTGCTTAGAAAATTCTTTTTTTATTATAAAACTACGCGAGACAACATGTAAACGCTAGTTAAACACATGTTAATTTTTATGTACCTACTATTGACACCCACTATTTTTAAATCATAATTAAAATTTATCAGCTTAAAACAATAAATCTAAGATTATTTAGAGTTTAAATAACCTCAAATAATTTTGGATGATAGGCTTTTATCAGAATTATATAGAAAAATTCGCTATTTAAAATACGCTCTCTCTTAGCGGAATTGTTAAGAAATTTTAAATAAACTAGCCGTAGTGGTCTACTCGGAAAAATAAAATTGTTTTGCAGTTAATAATTAATACCCAGGCATAAAATTTTACTTTTTTCTTATTAAAAAATTTCTAAAAATTGATAAAAAGCAATGTTTATTCTGATTTAATCATAAAATTGATTAAATAATCAATAAAATAAAACAACATGTCAATAATAGGGGCTTTTACCTTATTTAGTATTTAAGTTAGAATTAAAAACTTTGAAAATTTGGTATTAAATTTTTGAAAAAAAATTTATCTAATTTTTGACTTAGTAATTTTGAACTAACTTAAAAATAATTATGACTATAATTATTTAAAAAAAAAGTTTACTTCATACTGTCAGCTGCGTCACTGGATGTAAATCTTAACGAAGCATAAATAAGTACAACGATCGCGGGAACTGGCCAGCCAATAGACATCAAGCATTTAACCAATTTATGCTCGTTTGAAAACGCACTGACAAGAATGGTGTGGAGGTAGAACCCTTCGCACAGCATCCACGAGTAGTTCGTCAGCAGAAAGTAGTGAAGAATTATGTGCAGTAGGCGACAAGATATCTAAAGCAAAAGTATCATTTTTTTTTAATTTAAATTTTGTAGAATAATTTAAAAATTTAAGAAGAAATACATTTTATAAAAAAATTGTCGAAATAATGGGATACTTACGCCGTTTGCGTGGATAAGCTCGGTATTTGTCACAATAAAAGCATACCATATTAGCCAAAGGAGGTTGTTTACGGCAAACGAAGCGAAGAGATTCATATGGATTGTTATTCGCGCGCATCTTAATGATCTGAAAATAAAAATGATCGATTTTAAGGAAAAATTGTTGGCAATAAATTTTAAAGGCATAAAAAATTACAAGGAAAATTTTTAATGAAAAATTTATGAAAATAATCTTCGGCATCGCTTTAGACAATAATACAATTTATTTGAAATTTTTGGATTAATTGATATTCCAGCAGACATTTATAATAAGTATTGATGTTCTAAAAATATTTTACTATAAATTGCACGACTTAAAAAGCAAAAAGTTGAAAATTTTTCCTCCCTTATTAAACAAAATGATTTTACGCGTCGAATTCGTATAAGATCTATTAAAAACTAAAAATACTCGGAAATTCTAACTATAAATTCATGGACTAAAATATGTTTAGTATCAATGAATTCTATCAGATGGAGTGTGGTTAGAAAATTCTTTCCTACCTAGAAAGTTAACTTAAATATTTGATAGTCCAAATTAAATACCGATTGGATTTACTCTTTGAGTAGAGTATGTTTCCAACAGTAAGTACACTTTATTGGCTATTGATGTTTTGAATTGCTCAACTATGAGTGATTTGATGCGCGTCGAAGATTATAAAAAATTTATCAATCATTCTGTCCAATCAAAGTTTACATTCAATTTTCTAATAACTTTTTTAAGTAAATCTTTCTAAACAACTTTAATAAGCATTCTAAATTAATTTCAATCAACTACTGATATTTTTAAATAAAAATTCAATAAATAATTAAGTCAGACAAAAAAATTAATAAAAGATAGTAAAATTATCGATAAAATTAAAAATTGTTCAATTCTTCCATTTTGGACAAAGAATTAATTCTCAGACGCTTTCGACAGACGGCGCTGCCTTATAATTCCTGCAGTTGGCTCTTGACACCACCGTGTCTCTTAAAAATTGAATTGAGTAACAAGTAAGTAAATTTCAGCTTTTTTCTAGCAAGTTTCTTGACAGTTCTTGTTAAATTACAAATTTTTATAGTAGAATTATATAAATTCCAAATTAAAAATCTTAACCGACCCCTAGAAATTTTTTATCGTCTGATTTTGGTCTTGAAATTTTATAAAATTTAAAAGGGGTTTTAGAAAATGACAAACAGTTCAAATGTATGCACAGAAAAAAAATAATTTGGGCTAAGAAAATTTTTAGGAAGACTAAAATTATTTTTGTGCAAAAAGAAATTTTGAATCTCCCTTAATATTTTTGTGAGTCGGGATTTTTTTTATTTTGTATGTAGATTTAATTATTAATGTAACTAATAAATGTTAAGCTTACCTAAAATACGTGAGAATCCCTAGTGACAGAATAAGCGCAATTAAAGATATCGTGTATCCAATTTCGTAGATAATATTAAGCTGCTGTGCCCACTGAAACAAAATTAAAGAGAATTATCAACTCAGACGTCTCATTACATTTAACTCTATCTCGATCAGAGTTTTCTTCTCTTCTCTTCTCTACATCCAATCCACTCTATCTATATCTACTTGTCGCCTCTGTATAATGTTATCAGTATATTCTCATTTGAGATAATGACACTCCTTAACGAGCTCCGTCGTCAAAGTTATACGATCTCTTTGCAGCGTCAAAAGGGGTCCAGGATCCAACAAATTCATACAGAAAAAACACAAAACAGTTTTCTTGTCAGTTCTTCTTAACTGATACTTCCCCCAGTTTGGTGCTCTCATGTGTAACATGAAACACGTTTGATGGTGTTAAATCATTCATGAGTCCCATAACTCCCGGGGGAAGTATCCTAGTCACACTGTTTGTCTTGTCGAGTTGTTCATTGTTCATTTCCCTGTTTCGATAATAATGATCATGGTAATTTAATAAATTGCCCGGGTTTTTTTATTCAAATGTATGCACTGCTCTAGGTACTTAATTTTATACATTATGGACCGTAATTTATATAATGAATTGTTTTATTTATTGTTTTATACTAAATAAAGTACTTAGAATTGATTAAAATTATTTTATGGTTTCCTTGAAGATATTTTTAGTGATATAAAATTATTTGGCACATTTTTATTAGAAGTTAGTTCTTGGTTTCGCCGATAGGTGGCTGCGCCCTCTCGCTTGTAGGAATATTTTATCAGAGTATATATAAGGTAAAACCCGCTTTTATTGACACTATAAGAGTGATCATGAATATTTGAATTTTTTTATCGTGTTTCGAGTCAATATTGTCAACTTTTTTTTATAGGACACCTTAATCATTGTTTTTACTTATATAATTTAATTAATTAACTTTAATAGCAATAAATTTAATAATTATTATAACAACTTAAAACCGACAGGTCGAATGTATGTATTATTGACAGCGCAAAAAATTCAAAGAGCCGATTATTGACATACCATTGACCCTATTATTGACAGGTCTTTTATTACAGTTAAATTTATATTAACAATAATCATTTTTACTAACTAATGAAAAACCATCAATAATTTTTATTATTTTAAAATTCGTTTAAAACCTAGCTTTTCTATATCTTTTACCAGGTTTTTTTTAGCAATTTTTTCTAGTCTCAAATACTTTGATTCTTATAAAATCACACGACAGTATGTAAACATTAATACGTTAGTATGTATGTTGAGGGGGTTGGTTACCTTACATTATGGCCTGTGTCGTTAGTTGACGCAAGTTAATTTTTGTGTCCCCATCATTGACATCCGCTATTTTTAAATTAATTTTAACTCGATAAAGTATAAATAAATGATTATTTGGTTATTTAGACTATAAATAATCTAAAACAATTTTAAACAATGCAATTACATAAAAAAAACATTGAGAAATCTGGATTTGAAAATATGGTCTTTCTTAACAATATTGTTAAGAAATTACAAACGTATAAGCAGTTTTTTACTTGAAAAAATGAAATTTTTTTGCGGTAAATAGTTTATGCCTCGGAATCAAATTTTACTATTTTTTAATTTTAAAAATATGTAAAATTGTCATGAAATATCAACAATTGTGATTAATAATAGATTTTAATAATGAAATAATAAAATTTAATAGGGTGTCAATCGTGGGGGCCCTGTCAATAATGGGGGCTTTTACCTTAAGGGATTAACATCTTTTCTATTAATTAAATAATTCATACTAAAAAAGTACCATATAAATTTATTGTATCTTCCACATTTTAGTCAGAATTTGAATTCTAAAATTTTATAACTTGTTTCTCTTAAAAAAATTTTACAAAAAATATTTTTCTTGAATTAAGACTTTTTTTTCAGCTTAAAATATTTCTACTGCAAAAATTTAAGTAGTTGTTCTGAAGCTAATTTCTGTGGCTTTAAACTTAGGATTATTTTTAAAAAATTGGTTGACTTGATGAAGAAATTGCCGTCAATCGTTATTTCATTGAATTAATCATAATCACTGAGAATTAACAAAAGGAATTAAATTAAGCTGAAGAATAATCGCATTATTGACACAGAAATAGACTGCCGGTAAGATTTAATCGGATTAGACATGTAAACACACATTGTCTCTGAGCAAATGTGAGGTTGCCATTCAATTTGCAATTGCCGATGTTTACCTTTCAACTACAATAAACCCCACACAACTACAACCACCCTCGTTCGAGTGTCTGGGTAATGAAAGCGTTGAGACCTTTCTCGAAGGAATATAAAAAAAAAAGAAAAAAAAAAACGTAGCTTAAAGCCAGCAAAAAATATAAATTAACTAGTAGATGTCGGTATCCAACAGAAAATCTACTTTAGAACTATTAAACTTGTCTTCTTGTCTTCTTGTTTAATTTTCCGATTTTTATTGAAGATAATTCTTTGACTACTTTATAATTTATTACAAGCATAGTTCGTTGGCTGTGTAATCATGTTTTATGCTTGAAAAGATGAAAAAAAAAAATGGAAAAGAATAAAACTCTAAAAACAAGGGTGTAATAATTATCAAGTATAAAATTACTTGTATGACTTTTTTTCTGCTAGCTAAGAGCTAAAAAAATTTTTTCTTGCTCTCCTAGCCGAAAGTACGCTCATCCTGGACGCACTTTACTCCAGGAAGAGCAACATTTATGGCCGGCTCAGCCGGCTCTCTACGCATGCGCGCTACGCATATTTCCTGGCCGGCAGCACAGAGCCTCGTTTTCTTTCGTACTTTCGTGGTGCGACCGGCCTATACAGCGAGTTTTGACTGTATATAACAGTCACAACATCGTCTGTATGTAACATGTCAACACATAAACTAACCAAAAAGTGTCAAATAAATAAAAATAATTTCTTACTAGATTATTGTTAATGAACTATTTAATAATATAATACTGCACAAATAATTTATATAAAAATTTTAGAAAATAAAATATAAAAGTTTTGTAGATTTTATTTGCTTTCTTTTATATTTTGACAGCTATAGTAAAGCGATTTGTTTATAAAACAATCCATGTACTCTACAAGCTTCTAATAATTAAATTTCAATCTTTCTTAGCCATCTAATTAAAAACTAATTTTCAATCAACTTAAAAAAATTAATTCTGTTATTAAATCGAGTTTAAATATTTGTGAAAAGTTCTGTGCATGTTATCTCTCCTAATCAGAGTGTTTGTTAGTAAACTTTAAAATAACTTATTTTTTTATTATGTATTAATTTTTACTTTTTTATTATACCCGCCCCGACCAGTAAAACCTCGGCTTCGCCTCAGCTTTACAAAAGTCGGGCGGCGCTCCCCTCACCCCCGGCAAAACCCCTTCCCCGGGGTTGCGTACTTTCGGCTGGAAAGCAAGAAAAATAGTATACAACCCATGACCAAAATGTTGGATGCCCTGACGTATGTGACATGATAGCCTCGGCTACGCCTCGGCCATCATATCACATACGCCAGGAAATCCAACTTTCTGGCCTTGGGTCGTAATATACTATTAATTGTCGGGATGATTCAAGAGTTAGAATTGATAAACAAAATTTATTTAAAAGAAAAAATATTGAGCTAAAAAATAATTTTGACGAAAATTTGTGTAATAAAAAAATTTATTTAAGAGGAGAAATATTAGACCAAGAAAATAATTTTAAAAGACAACTGGACTGATAAAAATATTAATTCGATTGAAAGGATAAAATTTTTAACAATTTATAAAAAGTTTATTATTTTAAAACAAATCAAAAAATTCTTAAGCTGAGAAATTTTTCTTACTTTAATAGAGTTCAAAATAGTATATAACATAACAAGGCTAGTAAAAGAAAAAAAGTATCAGATCCCATGTTTCTCAGCCTCGGTTAACAATTACAATGTGATCGTAAAATTAAAGTAAAAGCCCCTATTATTGACAGGGCCCCTACTCTGGACACCCTATTTAAATTTATTATTTCATTATTAAAATCTGTTAATAATCACAATTGTTGATATTTCATGACAATTTTACATATTTTTAAAACTAAAAAATAGTAAAATTTAATTCCAAGGTATAAACTATTTACCGCAAAAAAATTTCATTTTTTCAAGTAGGCCAAAACTGCTTATACGTTTGTAATTTCTTAACAATATTGTTAAGAAAGACCTTATTTTCAAATCCAGATTTCTCAATGTTTTTTTTATGTAATTGCATTGTTTAAAATTATTTTAGATTATTTATAGTCTAAATAACCATATAATCATTTATTTTTACTTTATCGAGTTAAAATTAATTTTAAAATAGCGGATGTCTATGATGGGGACACAAAAATTAACTTGCGACAACTAACGACACAGGCCATAATGTAAGGTAACCCAACCCCCTCAACATACATATCAACGTATTAATGTTTACATACAGTCATGTGATTTTATAAGAATCAAAGTATTTGAGACTAGAAAAAATTGCTAAAAAAAAACCTGGTAAAAAATATAGAAAAGCTAGGTCTTAAACGAATTTTAAAATAATAAAAATTATTGATAGTTTTTCATTAGTTAGTAAAAATGATTATTGTTAATATAAATTTAACTGTAATAAAAGACCTGTCAATAATAGGGTAAATGGTATGTCAATAATCGGCTCTTTGAATTTTTAGCGCTGTCAATAATACATAAATTCAACCTGTTGGTTTTAAGTTGATGTAATAATTATTAAATGTATTGCTATTAAAATTAATTAATTAAATTATATAAGTAAAAACAATGATTAAGGTGTCCTATAAAAAAAAAGTTGACAATATTGATTTGAAACACTATAAAAAAATTCAAATATTCATGATCACTCTTATAGTGTCAATAATGGAAGCTTTTACCTTATTGGCCCATTAAAATTCTTCAGAGTTATTTCTTAGCTCAACATTTCTTCTGTTAAATAAAAGAAACTTCTTTACTATTAAACTTATATTCAAAATAATTTTTGTTTGACTAGAAAATTTTAAATTATAATGCATAAATATTTCAACAATCAAAAAATTCCCTCTAATAAAAGCGAATCATATTTTCCCTTTGTCGAACTTTTATTAAAATTTTCTCATCAAGTCTCTTTAATATTTACAATTCACTGAAAAACAAAAAATGTTTACCTCCGTTAAAAGTAATATAAAAAATGTTTTCAAAAAAAAAGTCACAAAGCAAATTTGAATACACTAACCCTGCTTTGTAGCAATCCAATAACCACGCGACTGATTGTAAATCACATTAATTGCTCATAAGTATATAGGGCACGTGAAATTATCAACAGAATGTATAATTATTCCAATTGGACGCTAATGAGTCAATAAACGTGAATTGATGATACATAACACTCGTAGCAAAAATTTAATTGTGAACATTTCCGAAATCGATAGATTGAATTAAACCGTTGACAATTGTTCGGTCCGAATGAATTTT